TTTTTTTTACTATTTTTTTTACTATTTGGTAGATACTTAGATAAAGAAATCTTATTTTCTTATAGCAAAAGGCAAAAGTGTTGGACGTGGCTTTCGTACCGAAAATTATTAAAGATAATGAAGGCAGAAGTTTTAGGAATACCGAAAAGTCTACTGAAATTTTCGCAAGGGTTCTTCTGGCCGCCATGAATGCCCAGTTATTACGCAAATACAGTAAATAATTAAATACTTTAAAGTGGATTATTCATATTTTCTCAAAAAGTAATACTTTTAAGCAAGCCAAAGCATGAAAAGATACCACAATTTCAATACGGATTATAAATTGTTTTTAATGGTTCACTTTTATGAATATGCCAAAGTAGGTACTAATTTCAGAGATATATTGGAAGAAAAGATATATTTATTGAAGGTGTGCTTAAATGCAATTAAAGTACAATTCAGAGCACTACTACGTATTGGTCAAACGGTGAGAATAGAAATTGAAGACATTGGGCGTATACCAGGCAGGTAGGTACGTACTCTACATATGGGTAATTAAGCATTATTCCAAATACGAACGAGCGACGGTAGTTGGTATGTATATAAGGTATCTAACTTTCACCTAAATTTAAAGCTTGGTATATCCCCCAACACATATATAGGTAGGTACAAACAATTTTCATGTTCAAAAGGTTAGGGCAGACAACGGGCAGGTCACAGCGAATGTGTGCAGTTCGCAGACAGGAAAAATAATTGTTGTACTGCACGGCGCGACGCGGCGCGTTGTCTTAGGTTGTATACCAAGCCAAGTGCATATAAACTTCGAAGGAGGCCGAGGCTCTTGGCTGGGCACATGCACACAATGTGGCAGCTTGCTCGCCATCGCCCGTAGGCATTTATGTCGCCCGTCGCAGTCGTCGTTCGCCACACCGTCAGATTGATCTATGGTAATGAGAAGGGTCAGGCGTCAGCAGGCCGTGAGAAGGAGTCCCGCGTGTGCTGCCTTCTCGAGAAATGTCACAATACCGCCGACAACTTAGACACCCATAAGCATCATCGGCAGCTGTTCTTTCTCCTTGATATAAGAGACCAAAGGAGACCAATTTGGGCTTAGAAGAAATAGAGGAACGCGGGAGGCAATTTTTTAGCTTTACTAGTAATAATTAATACAGAAAACGATAGGCGACATAGGATTCGTAGATTTAAATAAAGCTTAGCAATAAGAAATAGGCGAGGTGGTTGGTAGGACACCTTCTCAGACATGGAGGGTCAGTTAGAGACAAGTTAGAAGCAGAAGCAGGAGTTAAAAGGAGTAGAAGTAGACCTACTTTGGAATAGATTAGATTACTGTTCACAAGTAGGATGTGAGGTTTTGTAGTTTCAGGGAAATGCGAAGCATAACTTCGGATAGGAAAGAGTGTAGGTGCGTGTCCAACCAGTCTGACGACCCTATGATGATGATGATGATTCACAAAAATGTGAAGAACATTCGATAATTACGTAACACCTTTTGTTTTTAATTAAATTGGTTTATGTGCATCATCATCATCATCATCGTCAGTTCTAAGAATGATTGGACACGCACCTCCACTGTTTCTTATCCTGAGCTAATCTTCGCATTTCCCTAAGACTAGAACAACCCATATCCTTAACTATCTGCGAACAGTAATCTAATCTAGGTCTACCTCTACCCCTCCTAACTTCCGTTTCTGCCTCTAATATGTCTGTGAGTAGACCTTCATGCCTGAGAAGGTGTCCTACTAATCTATCTCGCCTATTTCTTATTGAGTTCTTCTGTTCTCCTATTCTTTCTAATACCTTTTCATTTCTAACCTTCTCTATCCATGGTATTCTCATCATTCGCCGATAACACCACATTTCGAACGCTTCTAACCTTTTCTTTTCCCCCGCGCCCATTGTCCATGTTTCGCACGCGGACAGCACCGCGCTCCAAACATACCATACCTCCATTTCTTATTGCATATCACACAAAAATTGGTCGTAGACTGAGTTAGACAAGCAAATACCTTCGTAGAGCCCTGGTTGTAAGACGTTATGAAATACCACATCAAGGAGACAATATTTATTGGTGGCGATATCCTACCTGTCAAATTGATATTAATCAAGTTCTTTGTTTGGAGCAACTTAGACGTTGTGAGCCATTCCTCGACAGTACTTGTGGGGTGTTGATGAAAACCTGTCTTATTTAACATTTGGTAGTTTTAATAAATTGTTAGCCACAAATTTAATGACAAAAGACAGCTACAAGCACTGAATTCAGGTCATGATCGCAGATCGAATTGGTATTGATAAGATGACAATGCACACAACTATCACCGAAAAGTTGGTGGACGAAATTTTTTTACGTAGAAATTCTAAAAAGACTAAAGAGAGAAGTCAACTACTCTATAAGGTGATTGAGCTGACGCAAAACACTTATAATACACTTCTAACTATTATATTCCCAAATGTGAAATCCTCCCTTTAATAATACCACTATGGGATCCATCAAAGGGTTATGTTCGTGTACCCTTTTGTATCTGCCTGTCAGGAAGTCGTGGAAAAGCCACTAGAAAAAGTGTGTCGACGTTGAAACGACTTTCAAGAATTTTATGGTTTAAGTGAAATAAATATATTTTTCCTAAAGTTATTTTTTTTTTACAAATATTTCCCAGGGTATCTACCAATAATTAAACAATGTTGTTGATTCCAAGAAATCTACGAACTTCTGTGGTTAAATGTATATGGAAATAGAAGAAGAGTTTGGTCTACCTATTCATTACCGGTAAATTAAATGAGGAGGAATTTATTTGAAGCCACTCCTTTTGAATCTAGCGACGTAATTTAATCATTGGACCGAAAAGGCGCCTAGTTGTCGCTCGTTGCCCATTGTCTGGGACTTGTGCCAAAAAGTTTTGCTACCGTTTGCCCAGGCCCTAGAGATGCATTCGCGTTATTATTACATATCAAGTCTTAAAATTCGTTCGATATGCGCTAGTGGTAAGTTGAAAACAACGTAAGGATTCTTTATTATCCAGAATCGTCGAAGAGCGACATAATCTTTTGAAAAATATGACTTGGTACTTCTAAGTTCGTACAAATACAATGTCCGATGCAACTTAAATCTTTCGGGAGGTATTACGTTTTGTTAATAAAATTTTGAATGTTCGGTTAGTTTATAGAGATATTATCAAGAGAACGTGATTGAAAATATATACCATATTGTTCACCAAAGGTCTAGATGATGGCCCCCACCCCCTTCGGGGGTGAGTGGGATCGAAAGAGGAGGTCTCCCCCACCACTGTACCATAAAAAGTTCGTGACGGTCCCACCCCCATAGAAAGTTATGGGGGTTGAAAGTTGATTATTTTGACAATTTTCATACACTATAATTCAAATAAAATTGAATAAAAAAACTACTTTTAAGCGGGTGGGAGATCGAAAGAGAATGGTCACTTGAACAAAACCCGATAACGTNATGTATAAAAATTGGCATATTTATTAACTTTGAACCCCCATAACTTTTTATGGGGGCGAGACCGCCACGAACTTTTTATGGTACAGTGGTGGGGGAGACCCCCTCTTTCGATCCCAACCACCCTTCCATCATCTAGACCTTTACCAAAAGGAAAGCCGACAAAGAAATTTAAGCTCTGATTTTAGTGAGCTTTCTACCTTATCAAATGTATCAAAACTACCAGTATACTAACAAACTAAATAAGTATAAAATTTATGGATTACGAATTTCACTTTAATTTTTGTGTGGTTTACTATTACATTTTCCAATAGAAAATTTGTACGGAAGCTCTTTTGCTACAAAACAAAACACATTGTTTTCTTTTGAATGTAAAAGCTTTCGAGGCTTCGGCTTCTAATTAAGTTACTGGTGGTCTGAAGAGTTCTGCTCTTGGCTGCACATCTTGTTTACAAACAACTGTTGTGGGTGGATTCATTACTAAAACAAATTGTTTCCATTGAGAACTGATCGTAGTTCCTGTTAAACAAACGAGCGGGGCCCTTTTTATTAGTTTCCGCCAACGCGCTTAGATTACATTACGGTTGCAGCAACAACAGTCAGTCGCGACTTCCTGTGGTTGCCATTACGCGTAAAAATAACACGTAGGTACGGTACACATTTCTATTATAGTCAAGCTGCGACATTAGAAAACGATTATTCTGAATCCCTTCAAGTTAATTAACGCACTTACATACGTATCTACCAGCGCATGATTAATAATTAATTAAAAATATGCAGTACTAGGTTTTACTCGCGGTTTCGCTAGTGTTGATGCCCTAAATGTATGTCAAAGATCATCAACGACAACATAAAACTATTTTTTATATCCCTCGGGACCAGTACAGTGTGTGTACAAAATTTCATGATTGGTTTTGACTGCGATTCTCAACGTATAATTATTTATATGTGACACAAAAATTATTATGAATAGTCGCATTTGCTGTTTTTGAAGTTCTATAAAAAATTGTTAATGTCAAAAGAAATTAATATCTCTTATGTAAGACTCAAAGAGAAAATTAAGCGCTTCGTTTACAACATTCTCCAGTAATGCATTGCAACATTTACATAAAATTAATGTAATGCTATTTTTAGATTAAGTGTAAGTAATTGTCAGTATTTCTTATTATAGATATGATTGTTGCAAAATGTTTATCTAAAGATACTTTTTTTTAAAGAAATTCGCATATTAATTTTATGGGTTACTTCTTTGCTATTAAGCAATAGTCCTGTCCTTCTTCAATCTAATATATTAATATTATAAAGAAATAAAATTTGTATGTAAGTTTGGATGTAGGAGGCAATCTTTGAAACTACTCATCTGATTCTATTCAAAAATTCTTTCAACTATGTGGACCTTCTACAATGTTCTTTACTTAACTGAAATTAATGTACTTACCCATGTAGCATATGTTGGACTTGACGAGAAGCCCAAACTTGGAGCAGTAACGGAAGTCAAGCGTAGTCTTGTCAATATTGGCCAAAGTTCAGACAATCTTCAAATGCTAAGGTTAACTCCATTGACGTTCCACCACGTTTGATCCACTGTACTGGGCAGTCAAGTATGAGTTTGGATACCGGATCAAAGTTTGTGTCAAAGCTACATATAAAAGCTTTGTCAGTCAAGCTATATCCAGTTCTGGGCTACGAAGTGTTGCTTGATTTAATACTGGATGCTAATCTTGGGCCAAGCTTGGACCATAAATTAAGCAGAATTAAACCAGTCTGGAAATCCCATAGGCAGGGAGTTAAGGTCGCCCCGGGCAAACTGTAAAAAAATATCTTCCCTTAAAAATGTTGGCTGTCGTATATACACAGATATAGAAAACTTTTTTTGACATTTTTATTTATGCAAATATACCTAATATCTACAAACGAAATATGTCTCGAACAATTCAAAATTAAATAATATTCATATCAATAAAAAAACCAATAGATTTTCTAGCTTTAATTTCTGCAAAAGTAGAAATTAAATCGTTATAATTTAATGTAGTCGCCATCTCATTTTTTATTGAAATTAATGCCAATCCACTGAGTGTATTTTGACCCAGACATGATCTTAAATAATTTTTTATTATTTTTAACTTCGAGAAGCTTCTTTCATGAAGGTCTAGTCAGAGACATATTAGAAGCAGAAACGGGAGTTAGGAGGGGTAGAGGTAGATTAGATTGCTGTTCGCAAATAGTTAAGGATGTGGGTTGTTTTAGTTTTAGGGAAATGCGATGATTAGCTCAGGATAGGAAAGAGTGGAGGTGCGTGTTCATCCAGTCTTAGGACTGACGAATTTATGATGATGATCTAGACCAGAATATACCTACTAGTCTTGCGTTAGTATTGCATTTGCTTATCACTATAAAGGACTTCAGGTGAAAGTATTAATACCCCTTGCTTAACATTGTTTTTTACAAAAATCTACACCAATGTTACAGAAAAGAAAAGTTTATATATTTGTCACTTTAGTCTTTGAATTCACTACTAGGATTAGTTGTTTATTTGGAGACTGTATAACTGAAGATAATGCCTTAAATGTTGAAATGCATTTTAGGTTTTAAAATGTTTTCTTGTAAGGTTTTATTCAATAACTATTGGTAGAGAGAATTGGGAAAACCTCGAACAATCAAGGCATGATTAGGTTTACAGAGGGAATATTGATTGCTATGTTTCATTTTTGAAATCAGAAGCTAGGGCGCGGCAGATAGATTTTGATGTTTGATGTAGAGAATGCACGGAGAAAACTAAATTTTTATGACAACGCAAAAATTATAATTTTCAATGTAAACGACTGGATTTCCGTAGATATAGTAGAATTTATTAGGTAACTTGTAATAATCTCAATTTTGACATGTTTCTTTAAAAATTATTTCAAGTTTCTTAATTATTATAATTTAATTTGTAATATCAACTAAAATACATAGTAAATTAATTTTTGCTAGGATTTCATTTTTACTAATTCGGATCCAAATCGTAATCTTTATTGTTTTCGCTTGCCAAGCAACGGGTTAATGGAGGGATAAATTGTAAAAATCGTTTTAATATTTACGTAAATTAGTAGAATGAAGATTCGGGCTATAGGGCTATTCTGTCCAGACGTTTCGTCAGCTACTGCGGCTGACATCCTCAGTGGTAATGCTGCGTTGACAACGTAAACGTAGATTATATCTCGAAGTTTCAACAGCGACCCAGTCACTTAGACCACGGCCCTATAGCTCAAATCTTCATTCTACTATGGATTCCGGCCGTGAAAGCCCTTGTTCTTATATTTTACGTAAATTTTCCTTTTTCATTTTCTCCATGTGGATCCATGTTTTCGACTACAGTCCACTAATTAAAGTAATCAAGTTGTAAAAAGTAGCATGTACTCATCGTGGTCACATAAAAGCAAGTTGCGTTATTCGTGCCAATTGCCGTTGTAAGTATAAATGTTTCTAATGAAGTGTTGGCTGACTTTATCGGCTTGTAAATCAAAAGGTGGTAAAATGAACTGATATTTAAGTCGGGTCGGTTACGCGCTCTTCTCAGGCATTTATATTATTAGTAATACGAGTAAAAATGTTATGGTAATTTTAAAGGCTTAAGAAGCGCTCTCTGTTCAGACAAGCCAGTCGCACGACGCTATAAACAAATCCTGCTGTGAGTCAATTGAAAGAATGGCTCTATTTGAAAGCGTCTCCGTTTATAGCGTTCAGTGGCGCAGTTCAGTGATTAAGGAGTAGTGATGAGTAAAGAAATAGTCTTGATCTTGTATTTTCGTCTTGTTTTCACTTGGTCTTGTGTATTTAGCAACACCAAGTCTTACTCGCGCCCTCATGACTTATTAGTAAGGTTCATCATCTCCTAAATTGTAATAGAGTTACAAAATAAAATGAAATAATTCAACGAAAGCATCGCGATAACCAAAGAAATTTTAATTTTAATGGTACGATAGGTCTAGTAGAAATAAGAACCTATTATAGATGAAAAGGGTTGATAAAATTTATTAAAGCAAGGGTTCTCTTAATCAAATAGAAGCGGTATTCACAAAATAGTATTGTATAAAAATATATAAAAGTAAAACAAAAATACTGGTATGTAAGGAAAGAAAAAGTAGGGAAGATATGGCTGATTTTAGGTATCTAGGAAGTCAGATAACTCAGGACGGAAGGAGTAGTAGGGATATAAAGCAGAGGATAGTCTAATCGCCTTCAATAAAAAGGTGTATGTTTGGAGCGCGGCGCTGTACGAGTGCGAAACATAGACAGCGGGCGCGGCCGAAAAGAAAATGTTAGAAGCGTTCGAAATGTGGTGTTACCGGCGAAAGATAAGGATACCGTGGATAGAAAAGGATAGAAATGAAGAGATTTTGGAAAGAATAAGAGAACAGAGGACTCTATGGAAGTCAATAAAAGAATAGACGGGATAGGTTGATAGGACACCTCAGGCATGAACGTCTAGTCAGAGACATATTAGAGGCAGAAACAGGAATTAAGAAGAGTAGAGGTAGATCTAGATCAGATTACTGTTTGCAAATAATTAGTTTTATGGAAATGTGAAGATTAATTTAGGATAGGAAGGAGTGGAGGTGCGTGTCCAACCAGTCTTAGGACTAAGGACCTTATGATGATGATGATCTAGACCACGCTATACCTACTATTCTTCTCTTAGTATTGTATTTGCTAATCACTATAAATATAAAGGACCCCAGGTGAATGTATTAATACCCCTTGCTTAAAATTTTTTTTACAAACATCTGCACCAGGGTTACAAAAAAGAAAAGTTTACACATTTGTCTGTTTAGTCTTTAAATTCACTATTAAGATTACTTATTTATTTCGAGACTGTCTAACTGAAAAGAACGCCTTAGATGTTGAAATTTTGGGTTTTAAAATGTTTTCATGTAGAATTTTGGGTTTTAGTGTTTTATTCAATAACTGTTGGTCAAGCCATGATTGGTTTTACAGACAGAGGAATCTGCAATCTGAACAATACACCTACCTATTATAGATAAAAAGGATTGATAAAATTTATTAAAGCAAGAATTCTTTTAATCAATTTGTCTGGAAAGGAGTATTAATCATTTCTTAAGGAAGAGGTCTTAGGATTAGCCGGCGCCTAACCAAAACCTCCTCAGCTCCGTGTTTCCCCTAATTTACCCCATAGTGTCTACGCCACTGACCAAAAGTTCGATCAATGACTCGGCTTTTATGTATCTTACCGTAATAGTATATAAATTCCCTTTCAATCAGAAAAGATAATTACGTAATAAATTTCTTTCATTTTTTCTAACTTTTATTACCAGAGGGACTATTCTGTTGTACTATTATCATTGAAGTTAGGGTTACATAAAAAGGGACCTGTAGTGAAAAATTAAGATGAGTCGTTATAGAAAATACGGTCGTAAAACCAATTCAGTTAAATAACAATGTAGTTGCTAATAAAATTTATGATACAAAGTTGATAATAAACCCACACACCTCACCTTTAAATTAATGTATATAATATACGCATAATTGTAACTGTACTCCATTCTTACCCTTCTTATAATCAACGTGGAATTAAGGTCAAAAGGGTTTAAAATTCATACTTTTTTTTTAAAAATAACCGCTAAGGTTTAGCCATAAGTGTCGGGCATTCTCAAGGCTAGTTTTCTTCCTTGAGAAAGTCCAGCGAAACGTTGGCGATTGTTTTTAAAAAATAAATAACTTTCACGCCTTATTGTCTTGATTGCATTTTGTTTATAATTGTAATTTCTAAAGACTACTTATTAGTTTGTAAAGTTTGCTATATAACACATTTTATATGTAGACTGATTTGAGATCTCCCACCTACGATTCAAGCGAACCAAAATAAATATAATCGTACAAATAATTATAATTCTCTCTAATTTATATTAAATTATTGTCTTCGCTTTTGACTATTTTGTAATGCATGCTAAGAAATGTATTTTTTTTGTTACAGGAACTGTGGATGTTGATGGAAGGCCTATAATCCTTTGCTATTCGGAATGTATTGCTAGAGCTGGTCTCAACAAATACGAAGTGGCGAAATTGCTACTATATTACACATCAATACCAAGGTATGCAAATTTTTTTTCAATTTTTTCTTTTTTATAATAACGATTATATAAACCTTGTCTCACGATGCGTAATTTGTGAATTTATTTTCTCTAAAAAGAAAATATTTTTATTAGTTGGATCAATTTTGCTGAGACAGAGTTTGTAAATACAATGTGAATATTTAAATCTAATTTATTCGGGAAAAGTTATAGTGCCTAGCGCAATAGGCTCTCTTTTATTTTGTTTCCTTGATCAACATGGTCCCGGCACCTCCACCATATTTTCACCAAGGCTGCACATGCTTTGGGATCTATTTTCTATGTTTTTAGTTCTTTACCGATGGACAAATACCAATCAAAAATTTTCATAAAATTCACTTTGATTAAAATTAGTAGCTATTATAAAATATAATTCAGCTCTTGTATTAATCTGCCTATTTACCATAGAGTGAAAGCGATTGATTCTTCTATTCAATCGAAACTTATATTCCAGCTTAGATTAAACGAATTTTGAAAAATTGCACATATAATCCTTATAAATCTTTATGAAAATTTATCAATAACATATGAGATTTTAGTATCTAATGTAAGAATTCAACCAATTTAGAAGTTTAATTTATAATCTCATTTGTATTGCGAAACCGTTGTTAATTAATTTTACCTGTATGTATACTATTTTTAGATAACGCGATTTGTTAGTGTTCATTAATTGGATAATCCAAGTAATGTAGCAAAATTAATAGCAACTACTAACGAACGCAATTCTATAAATACTTATTTCAATAAATATTCGTCCAATTAAATGGCGCCAAGAAGAAAAATTTTCTTTCTAATTTTGGGTCAAGACTGAATAATTTACATTGATCCTAGTGGTTAATCACATTTACTTACTTTCAAACGAATTCGAAACCTTAAGGTAATTGTACAAGATGTGATCTACAGGTCTTGACGATTATTAAATAATTTAATAAATTTTGATTAATCAGTCGAAATACGCGTTGAACTTCCTTGGACGTTTTTGAATTTTCGTCACTAAGATTTCGAATAAGGAACCGTAGAGATGGGATTGTAGGGAACCTTCTGAGAAATGAAGGAAATGACATATCACAAGTAGAAACAAGAGTTTTTGAGAAAGTTGAAGACTGGATCAGCTTAATTTTCATATAATCAAACACTAAAATTTTAATTAAAGCACTAAATTAAGACTAAAAAAGCTCTAAAGCCTCATCAGAATTGTTTTGACTATTGAGGCTTTTAGGGATTACTTAAAAAACATTATCCCAAAGTCCCATAGCAATTGACCGAATTCTACTTTCCTATCAAAAAGTGCAGGATACTTTGTACTACTTTGTGCTTTATATTTATCAGCTTAAGTACGGAACTTTCGACATGCGATTTCGATTATTTCTTCTTTTGAAAAATATTCACTAAACCTGATGATACTATATAGATGGAAGCGTAACTGGCGAAAGCAGATAACGTTGTTGTAGGGAATATAGTATCAAGCTATGAAAACCATTACTTGTTAAGTCTCAGATTTTATAAATTTTAGTTTTGTAATTTAATTCAAATGTCTAGAATGTTTAAAAGCTGTTGTAGCATATAATAATAACATCATATGTCTATCGAAATCATCAACGTTTCAATTTAAATTTTTTTATTCCATGGCGTATTTTTTGACAAAAATAATTAAAATTTAAACTTCCGTGTCTAAGTTCTTTTGTTTTTTGTTACAGTGCGGAGGATATTGCTAAAGGGTTTACAATTCTCTTACTAGCTGAGACAAGCGAACCCAAAGTGGCAGACACATTGGTAAAGTCGGTAGCCCTCATTAGCAATAACTTGCGACTAGAACAATTTATTGTATGGAGTCCTGGGGGAAAGGCTATCAAACCAAACACAAATAAGGTTAAGGTATGCTGATCATTATTATTTTATCTATTTATATATGTACCCATTATTATCGAATATCCATTAGTTAAGTCCGACAAAAAATAATGAATTAAAAAATTAGACTTGAGCCCAAAAATTCTATTTTGCCACACTGACTACGACGACAACACTCGCATTAATTTTTTTTGACATCCGGGTCCCATTTTAGTATTGATTCGAGAAAAATCACTAATAAATGACTTTAATATTTACTCGTTTTTTTATTGACCTTCAGGTCGTTGTAGTAAGTGAAGAATCCGATTTGGAAAGGTACATTAGTAAAGATCAAGCTCCAGCAAGTTGCGGTGGATCAATCAATCATGACCAACTGGAATGGGTGGAATTTTTCCGGCAATATGAGCCGTTCCTGGCTTCTTGCAGGACTTCAGGTCACGCATTGTTATCAGCTTTATCGTTGCTAAGGAATGAAGAAGTGCCTGCTCAAGTAACAAGAAGATTTCTTAACCATCAGTGCAGGTAATATATTATGGATGCAGACTTATTGATCTATATTTTTTACTAAAACTGTGGCGGGAAAACGCTTTTGTATTTGTATGTATCAGTACCATTTATAAATGAAATTTCCTACAGTCAGAAGCTTTCTGCTTGTCTACAGTTATTACACCTCTTAGCACCTTATTCCAGTATATTTTTATGATTAGCAATCCCAAAGTTTGGATTTTTCGAAGAAAATGACACAATTTTTACGTTAATACAAAACAGCTAACTTAGTAATTTAAAGTTATTTACCATTGGGATCCGTCAAATGAGAGGAGCCTAAAAACATGGTGCCGATTAGGGAAAATTTATCGTAGCTCCTATAGTGTACCGTGTAATTTCCAAGTTTTTAAATTACGATAAAATGATAAGTTATTGACACAATATGTGATTGGGCTAACACAAAGCCTCGGAAAGGAAATTTCGTTGAATGTGAGCGTGTTTTTAATGTCAATCACATTATAAAATTCGGAAATAACAAATCCAGAAGCTAGCCTTCAAATTCCGTCAAGTTTACTGCCTACTTTTTACAAACTTCGGATTTAAAAAGTGATTCACGTTATATAATTGGTGAGGTGATTCTGGGTGATTTAAGCAATATCATATCAATGACTTGCACGTGCAA